TTGGGTTCGAGTCCCACTAATCAGCGCCAAACCGTTCAAGTTCGGTTGCCTGGACCAAATGTAAACAACAGTGTACTTAAGCAGCCGTAGGCTGCCTACTGATTCAAAATCAGTACGACACACACATAACTAGCGTGTTGTTGTTGGAGACGTTGAATTGCCATATAATGGGATCCGCTGTTCCACTGAGTCTAAGTTGCGCAATCGTCAATTTGGGGGTAGCCTGTTTGACCCGAAACTTGAGCTTCTTGTATGCTCGACCCGTTCATCATTGCAGGTCACTCATCTTTGCAAGCTTCTTGCGTACTTCTCTTCCTCCCTTCATAGCACTCTCCTCATCATCCCTCCATTCCTCGTTGTTTTCTGTTCCTATTCCTCTATATAGTTTCCGCCTCTCTGACTCCCTCTCCCGTGTGCTCTTCCCCGTGGCCATTCTATATATCAATGGCACTCCTTAGGGCACACAAAGTGCATGTTGCTCCTCACATCTTCTGCCCCCACCTATCCTATGCCAGCGTTAGCTCACATCCACGAACAATGTCCATGTTGCTGCCTTTCATTCCTTCGTTGCATTCTCGGAAATCTCGCCCTCTAGTGGAGCGCTGGTTGAGCTTCCTGTGTCTACTACACGCGCATTCATGCTCTTCGTGGCAGAGATCTCGGTAGCAATCAACTCACTGGCACAATTCCTGCTTCAATGGGGAACTTCGCAAACCTGACATTTTCTCGTCTCTAGTGTCCGCCATTTCTCCTTTTTTTGATGCTAGTCCTGTCCTATGCACTCCATTCTCCTCTCTTCCTTCTTATCCAGCTCTCTCATGTATTCATCCTCGTGACCATTCTACGCGTGGATGACACTGGGGCACTTAAAGAGCACATCTTTCCTCACTTCTCGTGTCCCCATCTATCCCCTGCCACTGTCCGCACACATCTCACTGACAATGTCCATCGTGCTGCGTTTCATGCCTTTGTTGCATTCGAAGTAATTTCGCATCGTAATGGAGTTGCTTGTTCCAACTGAGCTTGGTGCCATGCATACTTGAGGTTCCTGCATCCACCGCATGCCCATTCATAAGCAAAACCCGAACACGAACGAGCTTGGGTCGATCGTCTATTGAACTCGTTTAGCGGGCAAACTGAACGTGTTTGGTTTCGACCCAAAAGCTTCTATAAAAAGTTTGTCCGAGTGTTCGCCTTTGTAGGTGAACAGTTAAGTTGCCTCGAACACCACAATCATGTTCGAGGCGAACATGTTTGCGTGTGTTCGCCTAGGGGGTGCATTTCGTCACATTACAGACGACATTCAATTCTGCAATGTACTTGAGAACCTTACTCCTTGAAAATTTTGATTACAACGATTGTCACTGAAATGAAGCCCCAGCAAGGTATAATGGAGGAGGACCTAGCTAGGCGGGAACCTCAGTAGGCGAGGTTGGGTGCTGGTCTGGAAATGCCAAGCCCCAAGTCAACGCGAGTCAGTGGCCTCGGGAGGCGAGGTCATCGGATCGAGCCTAGTCTTCCAAAAAGGTGAATATAGGTAAGCTTAGAAAGGAATAGAAAAAACTTATAGAATGCCCTTTAGCCTCTTGTGTGCGAATTTAAAGAGCGGGTCTATCTGGTCCAGGATTGGCAACATGCGTAGCTTGTAACGTCTGTCAGTATTTGGGCACCAGGTTTCTTTCTTAGGAATCACCCGATGCTGGCATTGGTATTCTCTTCCTTTTACCTGACATTCCTTGATTCCCTTTGCCATGCAGGCATGAGAAAATGATCAAACATGTGTTCGGTTCAACTAGAACACATAGCTATTCGATTCAACCATGTTCGTTTCGCTCCGGAATTTCAGCCATGGAGTGTTGAACAAAAATATGTTTGACTGCACATGTTGTGTGTCGCGAAGACTCTTGTGTTCACGTCAACAATCACGCGGCTTGGGATGCGCTGGTTGACATTCTAGATTCTTTTTTTTTTTTAGCTCATACGCTCTCATGTTCGCCCCACGTGCCTCCGTTCTCATGTTTGATCATCAGAAGCCAACTTCTTGAATTTTCTTAATCGGTCTTTTAGTCGCCGTATGCCTTGTTTTGAGGCTTCTCAAAAGCCGTATGCCTTGCGCATTATAGTTGCTGGAGAGGGGTTAGGGAAAGCGTGTGGTGCGGGACAGGATTGAATCGTGTTGTAACGTGTTCGGGCCTGTTTTGGGGCCAAATTTCTTCTCCGCCATGATGTGGTACATTGTATCACCCTGTGTCGAACATGCATTAGCCGTTCGACACTGCCGATACAATATTTGTCGTTCGACAGTTATTCAGATTTGACTTGGGTTCAGCAATATTCGAATCGTATTCGTGTTTGGTTTCGGGGTCAGTATTCGGTCAAATATGAAACCACAAAATTCTCGGAAAATATTTATAGGAACATGCTGCCTCCATGTGATGTTTGTGTATAAACTACATAGCTTGGGTACAGTCTCTAAGAACTTGTAGAATCCATGCAAACTTGAGCTTCCTGTATTTGCCACATGCCCTATGCTCATTGTGGCAGGTCACTTTCTTATAACCGGCTCAGTGGCACAATTCCTGCTGCAATCGGCAACCTTTCAAATCTGATTCATCTGTAAGCCTTTGCTTGTCTGTACTTGGATTGCAAACTAGGAATGTTCTGTCTGCATACATGCATGCATAAACAGCGAACTGAGTCTGACACGTTTCTGGGAAGAGAGAGTGGAGCGGAGGGTTTCAGTGCCTGCCCGTTCTCTGTTTTTGGTAAGGCCTCTGTGCTACATTTCCCCCTTGCTGCATGCGCGTCTCTCTTGACTACTCTTGTCTATTTACTCTCCTCCCTCTCTCTGCAGGTTCGCCGGGCACAAGGTAGAGAATGGTGTGATATTAACAAGGACATATATTGGAGTATATAGCTTGTAATAGAAAAGTGTACAAGAATATTTCCAACCATCTTCCATGGCCGCTCCAAGCATGTCGAGCAATGGCACTGCTTCATTTGCGACCTCGTCCAGGATGGTACCACCACTATTCACAATATTAACCTCTGTGCAAATTTGGCAGACATCTCATTCTGCTCTCCTTCGCCTCTTGGAACTTGCGCTCCACTCTGACAAATTTAGGAATTGTCCTCTTCTCTCTTCCAAGCCTTTTGAATATATGCAGACTGAGGTGTTGGTAAGATTCTCTTCACCTATGTATCCTACATATATTTCTTGTGTAGGTTGAGACACGCAAACATAGTTCAGGCCCATAACTCGGTTGAGCTGGAGGGGTGGTTGATAGTCCAATCTTGGCCCAATTGTTTGAACAGCAAGATTAGGTTGGCCAAATATTGAACTTCCCAATAAACTTGCCTCGCCCTTGACCAAGTTTATTGGTGCAGGTCAATATTGTAGGCACCGTCCCAACCAAACCCCTCGTTATCTATCCAAATATATATGCTCGATTATTTCGAAGACAGCTTCTCTCTTTTTCATTTTGTACCATCCGGATCGGACCCATGCCCTCCCTCACTTGACCCCTCTTCCTTTTTGGGCTGTTGCATCAGCTCTCTCCATGACCAACACCCTCTCCTTCGCAGTATCATGTGGTCCTGGTACAAGTACTATGCATGTGACTGGAGTTATAGGATTCTGTGATTGTGACCACACATGGCAGTGTCTGTCTGCAGACTTGCACGAAAAAAACTGATTCTGACACGACTCTGGCTAATACCTCTCTGCCGGTTGGTTAGGTAGAGTGAAGCCACATTGCTTTCTAGGGCCGAGTGTGTGAGAGCTGGCTGGAGTCAGATTTTGGTAAATTGGCAATGCAACTTAGTAACCCTTTTCTACTGTAAGGCCTCGCTGGCTTAATTCCAACTCATATATCGCTTCTCCCTTGTCATCGTCAAAAACTGAACCATTGAACTCACGGGCTCAATCGCCATTGCAATCAACATCCTCACAAGTACAGCACAAGTACAAAAGTACAACAATGAAAAGCTATGATATAAAAGTGAAAGACTCCAGCTTCTGCCCCTCTTCTTTCAGCCATTTGCCCTCCTCTTGATGCTAGTCTGGACCCTTGCTCTCCATTGATCCCTCGTCCTTGTTGTCCTCTTCCTCTATCTTTATTTTTCTACCTCTCCCCTGCAGTGATCTCCACCGCAACTACCTCACAGGCCCCCTGGTGAATCTCCCATTCTCCGAAGTGGACTTGACCGATAACTACCTGTCGGGTGTTGTGTCTGCACCAGGCTGCCGTCAACTCAACATCGCCGCCAACTGCTTCTCACCAAACAAAGCCTGCCGCCCTGCCATGCAGCAGCCCGTAGCACAGTGCATGGCATTCTGTGGCATCTCTCCAACCGCTTCTGCCTGTGGTGGTCGGGGCGTGTGCTACCCGGATGGGCCTAGTTTGGTGCCAACGTTCCTGTGTGATGCGGGATCTGTGCAGCTTGGAGGAATCACCTGTATTTCAGGAGGTATTAAAGAACTTCTACACGATTTCAGGAATGTCAAAGCTCTGGGTTTATGCACGTCAAATTCTTTGTGCTCCTAGAATTATGCACTTTACAGACATTTTCTCTACTTTCTGATTTGCACACATTGGTTACCCCATGCTTTGCTGCAAGTTGTTCGCTGTTGTTGGGTCTGTTGTATTTCAGCTACCACACACTCGAAAACTCCTTCGGCAGGCACAGACCTCATTTTTAAGTAGATCTTACCCTTCATAGCGTTGACCACATGATTTGATCTGCACAGCTTAGCACACACATTCTATTTCTCCACCATTCCCACCCTCACCCGTGCAATGCTGCCCTTTCGTCGCAAATCTTCAGGCTTCCAAGGAAATATTTTCCCGCCATTTACAGTGCTCACCAAGGGCACACAGCAGGAGACGGTGGGAAAGTTCATGGCGAAGCCAGTGACTCTGTTTTTGTACCCACCTGGTGTATCCACCTTTGGATGTGGCTTGGAGTTGGCCTTCAGAGTCAACTTCACCTTTGCTCTCATGCCCCAGTATGGTACGGCTTGGTCCAGCGGCTTTGCATTCGTCATTGCAGCAAAGCCCAAGGCGGGAAAACCTGGTGGTGTGGGCTTAAAGGGAGTGGGGCCCAGGAGCATGGCCGTGATATTCGACACGCTTCAGGATGATGCAGGCGAGCAGCACATAGGGCTGAGCATCAACGGCACAGAGGAACCCTTGGTCAAGGAGGTGTCGCCATTCGCTTTCACCGATGGCAATGCATACACGGTGTGGGTGGACTACGAGCCTGGGGATCCTGGCACCATTCAAGTGTTCCTGGCAAACTCAAACGTCAAGCCAGAGGAGCCGTTGTTGCAGCGGAACATGTCGCTGTGTGCGGTGCTGCAACCTGGAGTGAAGCAACCGGCGTTTTCATTTGGCTTTGTGGCGTCCACCACTGTGAAGCCCTTCCAGCTGCAAGGCATACTCTTCTCGTCTTTGCAAACAGGCAAGCATGTTATAACTGCATGGATGGGTGGGGGAGCAAGGAGGAGGTGTGGTGGTGGTGGTGGATGACGTGGTTGTTTATAAGTGGTACTGACATGACGCCTTCTTGTCCCAGAACGGATGTTCAATTCCAAATTTCGTCTCACTTCATTCCTAGCAACGATCTCAATCGCACGGTTACATTCCTCAGACGCTTTAAAGATTTGGCCATGTAAGCACTGTAGTGAGTAAACGATGTGTCTCACCAAACTTCAATTCATCTGGTTTGTCCCGAACCGTTTCGTTTTGATCACCTGGGCAGTTTGACAACTCGATCATTGCTCATGCTGAATGAACAATACACTAGGATAGGTTGATTACTTGAAATGTTTTTCTGGGTACTAATGATGATGGTCGCACCTGTAATAGCTAGGCCGTAAAGGAGATGATGACAGTGGTAGTTTTTTTGCATCATCTTGCTACTCCTTCCCTATGTTGTGCCCTTCTTTTTTGTGCTTCTTTTTCTTGTGTCTGTCTTCACAGTTGCTCCTTCACCCAAGAAAGTCCAGGTCAATGAGAAAGGTGAGCTCCCTGCCATGTGGCAACTAGAAGCTGGGATGGTTAGTGGCAAGCAACTTGCAGAATAACTCTAACAATAATTAGAGTACTTGCAGTTTCCAATCTAAAGATTGTTAAAATTTCTCCCACCACGCCATCGTGGTCCGTTGATACTGAAATACGTGCAGTACAACCGTCGTAAGATCTTAGCTTTCTACCACTGTGGGTCGCTCAAGAAGTGAAGGGCGGTGTACAAGATGTGTTTTATGATATTCAAATCTCCAGGGCGCAAAAATAGGCCGATCTCATTGGGTATTGCCTTCAATTTTGTTACCTATCGTTTCTACCCGATTATAGATGTAGTTATGAGTGCCATTTTATTGTAGCTCAAGTTATTACATGTCAGACTTGGCGCTTTTAAAATCAGGCCACGCCATGCCTCTCAATTCAGCTGCTAACCCCATCCACATCTCTCTTTATGTCCAACCCTTCCGTCCCCTCACAGCCCTCGGCCTCTCACTGTCAGAGGCCACATTTGCACCATCTCGAGCCAGTCCCTTTTTGCGCTATGTGAGTGCGGACTTCAAGCTGTCGGCCACCAAAGCGGACTCGTGGAGCATTCGTGACTTCCACACGTGGGACTCTGTGCCCTTCCTCGACTGGCCTGTCAAGAACCAAAACGACTGCAGTGAGTGTGGAAAACACCAGGAGTTTCCAATTCAACATCCGAGCTGATTTTCTGCAGTGAGTGTGATTGACCGCTAAATATAGTTCTTGAGTACTGTTAATTGCATTTGTAATGTGTTGTCATCTAATCCTGCGTTCATTGCCAAACACTGTTGTGGTTTGTACCGTGTCCACACAGCATGTACGAGGCAGCAAACTCCATGGACCATCCATGCAAGGCACACACACTGCCATAATTAACACACATCAAGAGGGAATAAAGGGCGAATGGAAAATCTGAGTAATATTTGTTCCAATCCGTCAAAATGTGGGGTTGATCTGGTTGGGAATGGAATCTACACCCAACCAAGTCAAGCCAGTTTTAAAACGAAAAAAAATGTAACAAAATGTGGGATTGATCAGGTTGGGAATGGAATCTAACACCCAACCAAGTCACCCCTTCTTTATCACCCCGCCCTTCTTTGCATCACCTTTCTTGCTCTACCACTTCTCAGATGCGTGCTGGGCGTATGCGGTGGTGGCGAGTGTGGAGGCGGCATACGGCATTGCAAAGCAGAAGAGCGCTCCCCGGCTGGCAGTGGAGGCGCTCTTCACCCTCATGGGGCTCTCCGACTCCGACAAGTGCTCCGCTGGCGGCTCCCCCACCCACGCATTTGAGACGCTCACAGCTCTCGATGCCTCCAGCGGGCTCACGGGTGCCAGCAACCCTGTAGGTAGAACAGCATGAGGACGTGGTATGGTATGGTATGTATCACCTCATCCACCCAGCCAATGGACGTGGTATGATAGGGCAAAAAGCATGTAGACGTGGTATGGTATGGTATGTATCACCTCATCCACCCAGCCAATGGACGTGGTATGATAGGGCAAAAAGCATGTAGACGTGGTATGGTATGTATGGTATAGTATAGTGAAACCACCTCATCCAACCAGCCAGCTACACGAGTTTCTGATTGTACGGTTATCTATTTTTCTTATTGGTGTCTGAGCCCCAGAGGTACGTTGCTAATTTGCTGAGGCATCGTTTTGTTGTGATGTGAGATTAGTTTTTGTGCTTCTCATTATCTGTCTTGTTCCTTTTTTGGTGGTCCCTCCTCGGGGGGGGGGGGGGCTGATGTACCCTTCCCTAGTTTCAGAACTCCATCAACCTCCAGCATTCTCCAGTCTCACCCCTAACCCCCACCCCACCTTTTCCCATCCAACAATGATGCAATCCCGTGGCCCCAGGCAATAAATTACCCAGTGCAGGCGTTTGAGAGAGCAAAGTTCAAGGGGTATGTGGGGCTCATGCTTGCAGTGCAGCGGCAGCCAGTGGTGGTTCACATCCAGGCGTCTGCTCCAACCTTCATGCAGTATGATGGGGTGTGTCATTGCTGTTAGAACTTGAGCTCAGAACCCATGCGTTAGTAGTGAGCTCAACGCTCTTTACGTACATTAGAAATGAGCACGGTATGGATGGGGAGGGAATCTGGGGCAATCCTAGGAAATTGGGGGTAATCCCAAGGCAATCTCTAATTGGTGGGTTGGAGATTGCTTGGAGATCACATTTGGGTTTGGTTGGGAAGTGAATAGGGTTAGGCCCGGCCCGGGTCGGGCCGTGCCGGGCTGTCCAAAAAAGCGAGCCGGCCTGGCCCTGCCCGACCCGGGCCGTGATGGCAAAACCTCAGCCCGAGCCCGCCCAGAAGGTGGCCGGGCCGCAACCGGCCCGACCCGGGCTGTGTATGGCCCAACCCGGGCCGGGCCGGCTCGGCCCGGGTGCTATTACAGTGTTGGCTTCAGGGTTAAATTACTCTCTGTTGATAACTTCAGGGCGAAACCCTAAAACAAAATTGTATCGCACGGCTGTTTTGATTTCGTCGTGGTGAAAGGCAGTGTCGTGCCAAACAACGCCAATTGTAGATAACTAAAAGCGGCCCGCCCCTAAACAGGCGGGCCAAAAGCGGGCCGCCGACGGTCCGGCCCGCCCCGGGCCGAAAGCTAAATTTTGAGGCCTGGCCCGGGGCATTTCCGAGCCGGCCCGACCCGGGCCAGGCCCAGCCCGTATTTTTGCTCATCCCTAGATGTGGGTGTACACCCAACCAAACACAAAGTGCAAACTACACTAAACTAGGATATAAAAAGTACAAGTACAAATGTGAGATCGAGGGCTAACATTATTAGGTGCATCTCACACTCAGTTATGTGCCTACCTTTTGTTGAAATTCATCACTTGGATGGCATGTACTTTCACACATAGATGCATGCCATCACTTTGGAATTCTTCATACCTCTCTGGCCTGTACTCTTTGACTCCCTCTTGGTGAATGTTCTGCCCCCACCTCACTTCAGACTTACAAAAATCAGGATCCTGGTTGCTACACGGGCAGTCTCAACCATGTAGTACTCGTTATTGGCTACTTCATCACAAGAAACGACGGCAGCCAGAACCGCATTGCGCCTCCATTTTGGATCATCCGCAACTCTTGGGGAGAGGAGTGGGGCCAAAGGGGACATATGCGCATGGACATTCAGGGAGGAGAGGGCGTGTGTGGCATCAACGTGCTGCCTGGCATCTACCCCATCGTCAAGAGTAGGACATTTACCCAACTGTGAAGAGCGAGCCATTTGTACTGTGTCACAGCTGAGGTCTACCATATCCACCTCATTGTCAAGGAAGATTGGTGCATCCAACCCGCTAGCTCCTTGGTAAGTCGTCCGTGCTGCCCAGCCTCAGCTGCAAGCCATGGTTTCTTGTTATTCCTCTTTTGCCAATTTATCCTTGTCCCTCGTGCCACACAAGCTTCTCCCAGGGCACTGCTGTGACATAACATCCTGGAAGGGAAGGGGTAAAAGTAAGCCTGGAAACAATAACTCAATCAGATTGGGTACTTGGTATTCGATCACAAAATCTACAACTAAAGAATGAGCTCTAGCATGCTACTCGCATGTCTTGTTCGTCAAGTATTCATTTTTGTCAAGTAGTTGATCGCTACATATTTGCTTATTCAAGACACATCCGACTTCTTCTCTTTATTACCTAGCATGCTCTTTACTGCACACTAATTTGTCACACAACACAATCCAGTAAGCCTGGTTTACTGTAAATTACGTCAGTAACAATAGTCTGGAAATTGCATAATTCACTGTGAGAATTGACCAGGAGTATGATTGGACTGGTGTAGATACACACAAATGCAACAAAATAGCATGCGCACGGTATCACTAAACATTTGAAAATGCCCTGCGTGCAAGCTGAAAGCTTAAATTCTTCCACTAGTGGACAATCGTAGTCTCAAGCCTGGTAAGCACATATGTACTGAGTGGTGCTTAACTATTGTGGTGTGCTCAAAACATTTGGCATGAACTCTGTAGTTCTCCTCAAAACTCCATCCTCATGTTCTTCAAGTGCCTTCTCTTTAACGCCTTCCATTCCAGTTCCAGGGGACCCCTGTGGAGAGAATAGCTACAAGGGCGATGGGGATTCGCAGCCCAGCATGAACCCGTGTGGCCGGATCCAGTGCCAGGGGATGACAGCAAGCAGCAATAACTGCACTTGCAATATTCCTGCTGCTACTGTGCAGCCTTTTGTGCAGGTTACGAATGGAATTGGCTCCACATGTGCTTATGGTAAGTTCAGTGGCAAGGCAAAGGGTGAGTACACTATAAATCATGTCTGCCTGTTGTAATATGCACATGTATTCACATGTATGCAGTGCGTGCCACGGAGAGTGAGGGCAATGGGGTGAAAAACAAAACTTCTCTAGGTCCCCTGTGCTCATACTCCTGCCTGTGGTCGATGTGTGTTAGAGGTCCCCCAGCTACAGTGGCCAAAGGTGGCTGGGAGTGTGCAGACCATGTTCTCCTTCTTCTCTCCCATATTCGCCCTCATTTCATCTTAAATCCCCCGTTTATCTCAACTATCTGTACACACGTGTGTGGGTCATACTTCAAGAATCCCTGCTACGTGGGAGCATGTATCAACGATGGCAAGGGCTCCTACTCCTGCATTTATCCTCCCAACCACGTTCTAAGCACAACAGTTGACGGCTTCCCAACCTGCGATCCAAGTAGGTGACTCAAGTGTGTCTATTGCTCTCGCTAGTTTGCTAGTGAACCTCCGCTTGTTTGATGGAGCTGCCTCGAATCCTGTTTCCGCTTCTTTCGAATATTCAACAGATTTCACCCCTAACTTGCCTCTGTCGCGCTCCCCATTCTGCCTGCAGTTAATACCACGGCCACCATAATGACAGTCAGTGGAGACAACTGGTGGTGTTCAGACATTCATCCACTAATTGGCCTCTCTCTAAGTGACTTCACTGACCAAAATATAGTGGGTGAAAATTTGGTGGGAGTTACGACACTTTATTTAGCGTTTGGATTGCACATTCCATATCACCTTGTTTTCACATCACTAGTCTTCCTTCACTGTACCCCTGAACTCTCACTGCACTGCCAGCTGGTTCCAAACTTCATCAGATATGTTGTTTATATTAGGTATCCTTGTTTCGCCTTTCCAGCATACTTGTCCTTTTTTATGAGACCCCCACACCCACCCCCGTTTCATTCACACGATCCAGACCAGAACGTTGTGGTACTAAGGTGTAAACCTTATTCTCCAGGACCCAGTGAGGAGTGGAAGCCTTGCCTGTGTGGAGTGTGGTTCAAACCTCTGATTCATGCACGTGGTTTCCCAATGCAGGGCATTGATTGCAGCCAGCCGTTGCCCAAGGGGCAGTGTTCTTCAGCTGGATGGTACTCCCGCCACACCCTGCACTGCCTTCTTCTACTCCCTCACTGTAAGACCTGCTGCTTTCTTGCCCACACCACGCCATGCACTCAACCAGCTTGCGTACAACTCAGCACATCGCAAGCACCAGGCACAAAATCACTCAGCATGTCGCAAGCACCAGGCAAAAAATCGCTACGCACATCGCAAGCACCAGGCACAAAATCACAAGCTGCAGGCACAAAGTCACTAAGCACATCGCAGGCACAAAGTTTCACTTTCCCTGCTTCTGTCCATCCTTCCAGGAAGACACCTGTGCATCCATCAGCTCAACGCTCAGCTTCAATGAGGGAAGTCTCGATGAGCTGAACCCCGGCCTTGGCTGCTCCAAGTCCATCAAGGCGGGCTGCTCTATGTGCCTTGAGCGCAGTGCTGCCTTTGCCTTCACTGTGCCTGAGTGTGTGAGATACGGCACGCTCACTCCTCAAGACACGTGCGACCGGCTGCTTCAGAGGACCGGCACTTCACAAGGGAGTGCCAGTGAGAAACAATGGGCTGCGCTGTACCGCAACAATCCCGGCCTCACTTGCTCCGCAGCCATCCCTTCCTCTGCTTCCGTTATCGGCAGCAACATTGGTGTGCAGGTGAGAATTGTGAGGGCTGGGGGGAGGGTGGTAGTCAGGCATGGAGCAGCAAGTAAATGGTGAAGAAGGGTACGTGCTCTTTGCACGGCTGTTGCAAAAGTATGTGCCTTGTCGCGTTTATCTCTATACTGCACTAGCTTGTTTGTTTGTTCTTGTTTGTTTGTTTTTTTGTTTGTTTGTGTTTTTTGTTTTTGTCAGTACCTCCTACATCATAACTGATTTATGGATTGTGAATCTTATGATCCCAGATTTGCCTCAGGGCAGAGTATTGGTCTTTCACATTGAGCTTCTGCAAGAAGGGCAGAGTGAAGCCAGTCCAGCCGTCTATGGCGTGCGCGGCTGCTTATCGCTTCTATAGTGGAGATACCACAACAGCAA